TCTATATGATTTTTTGAGGGGTACAAGGTACGTATTTGTATTCAGTTGATGCGAGTATTTTTTTTAGAAGATGTTCAAACATGATTCTCTGTTGATGATTTCAATTGCGTGACAAATTTCTGTTAAAAGTAATTTGTTTGTCAGTTCGAGTGAAAGTTTACATCATAAAAACAAGTTTTGGATTGCTTGTTTATTTAGAGAATGTGATTTTGAGGGAAACTGAATGGTGAACCATTGATGAAGAAGCTAGATAACGAACTTAAAATGTTTGAAACTTTTTGCGGATTCGATTGATAATTTTTTCATGGATTTCTCGCTTAAGGTTTTTAATATTGAAATTTAAGATGATAACTTAAAATTATTATGACTTCTTGATGAATTCTTCATCTTAATAGCGGAGCAAACAATTTTATCAAGCATATAAATAATCAAAATCCCAAAAATTTGAAGTTTTTCAATACAAAGCAATCCCTGACAAAATCCTTAACATTACTAGACTCCCATATCCATCAGCTTTATCGACATATCATAATCAAATCCAATTACGTTAAAAGCTCCATCAAAAGTTTTGATAAAACACCAAGAAATTTCAATGCATAAAGAAACCCTTTTCATCAAAAAGTGATTTAAATGCGAGAATCAAGCTTAAATAAATATTTTTTGAAAAAATTCAATGCATCAATAATTCTCAATTTACCTTAAACTCTGCTGCTTATTTGAGCATAGCATAATAATTTATGATTGAACCCCTTTTTTGTTTAATGGTTAAATAAAAGCAAATACGAAATGAGCAACAGACCATCGTAAATTTTTAGATGGTGCTTAAAGCAAACAGCTTTTCCACGAACAAATGTGAAACTTTTTGTGCTGCTTTTTAAAAAATTGTTCACGTTGAAAAAGTGCGGTAAAAGCTGTACTTCTGGTGAATCATTCATTATTAAAATTTTGTTGCGCTTAATCATTGTCATTTGGGTCTTTCGTGGGATTCATTTCTTCCTTGTTTATTGCAAATTTTAGTCATTTTTGAAAAAGTTTTGGTTTTTATTTAATTATAGTCACAATATGTGAGAGCGCATGGGATTAATCTGAGGTTAGAATAGTCAAGAATTTAAAATGTTCATGCTGGGGCATTTTAATTACAATTTATTTGAGAAATGCAGCAGCATTGCCTCGAGATATTTTTATCATCACTTAGTATTTTGCCTTGGGATATCAAATCACTCGAATAAATCGATTATTCTAGTATAAAGTTCAACAGGTGAATCCATTATCATGAAGATGTGTTGCGTACTTAAGGCAATGCAAGTGATAAAAAATGTATGTCTGTTTGAGTCGTTTGAACATAAATTGATACAAGATGAATCTTTTAAGGTTGATTTAATTGAGAAAGACAGAACAATTGAAAAGTTGGTCATGTTTTGCATTGACAGGTCCTGCATTTGCTGCTGATTTTGATTGAAGTCAGTCTTGTTTTTAAAATTGAAATTTTGATTTGAAATTGCTGGTGGATTTGATATTAGTTTCTAAATGCAATTTAGGAACTTTCGTAAATGCCATTTCGCCTCGAAGAAATGGAGGAGGATATAAATATCTATGAATGAAGTTTTTTGTTTGATAGTAATGTTATGTAAAAGATTGAGAATGTTTTTAAATCGAATTTTCTGTCAAACATCATTTGAGAATAAACTCTTTTATTTGAAAAACTATCCGCTTTGAATAGTAATTGCGAGTTGAGCAGCATAAAACTTCAAGTTAATCATCTTGAATTCAATTTTTCTCCTCGTAATTTCCTTCAACTTTGAGCAATTCAAATATAAATGTAATTTTTAATCTTATTTATTTGATTTCCATATTTTATGCTCGAATTGAATTTCAAAAGAAACGAGAAAATTGTTTTAACTGTAAAACTGAATATAAGCTTCAGTTTTTTTATAGATATTTATTTAACTAGGTTTATAAAAAAAACTTTAAAATTGAGTTTCTCTCAAATGAAATAATTTTGTGATGAAAAAGAAATGGAAGTTATAATTCACAATCTGTAAATTCTCAACTTATTGTTCATAATTGGAACTCCGCGGTGTATTTTTTCATGTGGAAGCTGAATGTTTGTTTAAAATTTTCAGGAATAAATATTAATTAGTGGAAAAGTGTTTGGTGAGAATTTTTCATATTTATTGTTGGAATGAAGGGATGAAGGCAGTTTACAATTTTATTTCGAATTGAAGAGTCTCTCGTGAACTTTCTGTTAGCTACAATAAATGCTGATAAGCATGAATTAATTTATTTATGGTTTTTCACTTATTCTAGATCTGTAAATCTCAATTCAAACCAACTCGATTTAGTAAATTAATTCAATAATAAATCTGCTAGACATCCAATAATAATTTATATTTTTGATAAAGTGTATCACGTCCAAAACGTAGGTAGGAAATTGTTTATCAATGCCTTTTTATCAAGCAATTAATAATACTTTTCTACAAAGTTATAAAAAAAGGAAATCAGACCTGATAATTATTTAAATTAATCCAACGACTGCAAACAAGAACTCATTTTCGGAAATAGGTACTTCATTTTCGAACTTGATTTGAATTTAAAATTTCCGTTGAAAATATTTGTTTACATTTCTTGGTCTTTATTGAATTTATAAAATTTAATTTTTATAAAATGGTCAGAAATTGTGTAATTACTGGTTGTAAAGGAAAGAAAACCAATAAAATACCTTTGTTTTAAACTTTCAAAAAGCTCTGTGCATAAAGATAAGTTGATTGAATTTCTTAAATTGCATAATATTGAATATTGCTGGAAAAAAAAAACATTTCTTGTGTATTCTTGAATTTATTTATAGACAGCTTAATTGTTTACCTTATGTTCTGATCCTTCCTTTAACCAGAAATTCATTAATACAGTAATTGCACAAATTGAAGTCGATTTTAAACATTGTCAAGATACAATTGATAAATTATTAAAAGTTTTTGTTGAATTTAGAGTAAAATTACAATTTCAAAGTCGATTGGTACATAGAAGGAATAATTTTGCTTCAAAAAATAACTATAATAAATATATTTTTATTAATTCCCTAACGATCATTTATTTTTTAAAAAATTTAATAGTTCGAAACAGTTCGAAATTTTTCGAATTTCAGTTTGAATTTTTCGAATCTAACTGAAGTTTTCTTTGTTTGCAGTCGTTGGAAATTAATATATCACATAATGCGATAAGAATGGAATGATTTATTAATGAATTAAGTTCTTCTTAAATATTCAAATCTCAGCCTTAACAAAACATCGAAATAATTTTTCTCGCAAGGACATCCATTAATTCCAACCACAAAAAATACTCAGCAGTAATAATTCATTTTAAATCAACCACAAAATTTGCTCCAACACTTTCGGTTACCAAACCACCTTTATCTCCTCATCAGCATCTACAGCCCAACAAAAATTTATTTGAAAATATGCCATAGCAAAAACATGAAAATGAGATTTAAAAATTAATTGACGACGAAAAAATTATTTTATTATTTCCCAACAGAATTTATTGTAATGCCCATTAAAATATTTTCTAAGGCACAAGAAAAAGGTGAGAAACATCCTTGGAGACAATATAATTTTTATGAGACATCAAAGAATGTAAGACGACGTGGAATTATTACGTAAAGAGATTTTTTGTTATGAAATTTTTTTTATTTGATGATTTGGTGTTGTGAGGTGAAGAAGATATGGCAGAGCTTGGTTTACAGAGTACATTGAGTGAGAAATGACTAATATCATTCAGGCTTTAAAGTTGAAGAAGTCAAGGAAATCAGCGAGTATTTGGCTTAATTTAAAAGGTATGATTTTTAAAGATTTAAATAAGCTTTAGCTTTTCACAGTGGTGCAGCCAAAACTTACAGAAGGATTTGATTTTAGATCAAACAAAAATTTAAGCAATTTTTTAAAATTTTCTTCTTTGAAACAAATTTTAGGGAGAACAGCGCTAATGATGGTTTGCCAAATCTTTAAAAATAAAGTTTAAAATTGGATCAAAACCAAGCTTGCAAATGAAGGATGTAAAGCATCGTTTTTAATACATAGAGTTCGATTTAGCAGCATGAAAAACATTTCTAATCGCAATTTTTGATTTAATTCTAGACTCGAAGATTTAAGAACTCCGTTTTTATACTTTAAGTAATTTTCTTATAAAGTTCAAGTAAATCTAGGAAGTTAAATTAATATTTTGATTACTTCTTCTAAACAGTATTCAAGAATCAAAAAAAATTAATTATAGAATATTGCAAAATAAATCTGCAATTTTTAAATAATTCTCATAATTTCCATAGATCAAACAAATCTATCATCAAAACAAAAATCACAAACTTTACTGTTTGACATGAAATCAAATAAATTGACGAAAATTTTCGAAACTTTTATCAAAAATAAACCACAAAAGCTAGAAAATTTCCTCAGGGTCTAAATAACAAAACAAGGAGCAATTCAATTGAATATTCAGCATGAACGTCATTTATCTCCTTCTCATGTCTCTAACAAGAAATGACAATTTGTCAAAAAGGAATCAAAATTCTGTCAAATTAGCAGAAAGAGTCATGGCTCGAGCAGATAAAAAAAATGAGAAAAAAAACTTTTGTGGCACAAAATTCACTAAACTAAATAAGACAAACGATTCAGCTTAATTCCCTTAAGGAAATGGGAAAATTTCATAATAAAGTTTCTTTTGTTTTTAAACATAAAAGCGTATCGAATTATAGCTCTGTGGTTTTAAAAAAAACACGAATAAAGCTAGTCTGCCAGCCATGCTGAGCTCTTTCATGTTTCTGTGTCCAAAGTCGAATAGCACAGTAGATGAGAGAAATGAAGAAAATTAATGTCATTAATTAAATAGGTGTACAGTTATTGTACATTAAAAAAGGGGATAACTACTAAATGGACATATCAAGTCGTTATGTTTCTCTCACACTCACTTCCCAGTTGTATTATTTATATGCAACTATTGGATATACTTACATTGAGCTTATTTTTCACACTTTTTAAATTCTTTTTTTATATTTCACAAAAATATTTTTTTAAGAAAAATTAAATTTTTCTCAATTTCACCTTTTTCAAAAAAAAAATATTAATAACAAAAATAAATATTTTCTATGTGATGTCACTTCACTTAAGTCAGCTTCAAAAATATTTTTTATATTCTTTATTCTTTTTCAAATATTGCCTCTAACTTGGCTCAAGCACAACTGATAATGTGAGCGAAATGTGTGTGATACTTATAGTATTTAAGCAATTTCCATCTTCGTGACCGGAGAGCAACAAATTGTTGCTTGAAAGGAACGAACATGCGCGCTTTATCCGAATGAAAGAATAAAATGTTGAGCCGAATTGTTGGCAAAAGCACCGAAAGACAAGAACTTTTTGTGCTTTTCGGAAGTGGAAGATTATTTTTTTTTGTGTCCAAAATTTCGATAAATACGCAAAATAAATTTTTTGCCACTGCACATTAACATCCAATGGATATTACATATTTTACTAATCACATAAATGTATAGGATTTGCGTGAGGCAATTATCGTCCCCTAATCCATGATGTTGATGATGAACTTTCGATGTCTTTTAATTGTTTGCACTAGAAATTAATCATTTGCGATTCGTCATCGTGATTCATAACTTATGGGCTGTACGTACGCAAATATTTGACATACTTAAGACTGAAATCTCATTTTTTCCCATTCTTTTTGTTCCCTTTTGAAAAAATTCCTTCAATCAATAATATTCAAGCAGCATGAATTATGGAACATCTAGAAGAGTGACCTTTAAGTGGTGCATTGCACATGTTTTGTGTGTATGGGCATTTATGTTTCAGATGCAGAACTTTACCATAATTTTTTAAGGCAGGTTGACAGGATTGAGTCAATTGAATTGGTTTATGTTATGCAAAGTAATAGAGGGTTATTACATTGATGGACTGGATAGATTCCATAGAGTCATCAGTGTCTCCAGCCCCCAGGCACCGTTCCTTTATGGAGAGGATTTGATTAAGTTTACATAAATAAATCTTATAAACGTTATCGCAATCCATTAAAATCTATCAACCGTTCAATTTGTTCATAAAAGAAAAGTCAATCCAATCAACCTGCTTCATCGATGAGGCATACCTCCTGTTATATATTGTACTACATTTTTACTGTACTGAATCTTGCATAACTCACATCATGCAGTGATAAAATTTCCTTTTTTTAAAAATTCAACTACAAACTCAACACAATTTCCTCATTTTCTTATTTTACATTTTCTTTTGTCAGATGAGTTGATTAAACTATTGCCACGTAAGCATGTAGATTATATAATATAATACAAAATTTTAATACTGTCAGTTCTTGAGTGCATTTTTTGTTACTTTGAAATTTTTTTCACTTATTTTCTTATCTGAATAGAAAATCTTATAATAACAAATGCATGCATGAACTAGTTTGTTTGTTCCTACCTCAACAATGAACATTAAGTTAAGGTAAATTTTACTTACCTACAAGAATAAAATAACTTTCTTATGTTTCTCACTTTTTTATATACCTTCGTCAATGCCAGAAAATTTGATGCACATTACAAAAAGTATTACTGTGAAGTGTAAGATTTGGAAAGGAAAATGCATAGAAGGAGAGAAAGCTTGACGTGACTGTGATTGTTTTAAACTTAAAAATGAAATTTGTTTCTTCTTTTGTAATTTTTTTTGTGCTTCAGATTTGGAGATTTAATTTTTTGGAATAAGAGATAGATTTTGTACAGTTTATATTGCTCAGCATCACCTGCGAAGATCAATTTGCTTTCATTATTTTTGCCCTTAGACTTAAAAAAATCATGTTTAAAATTATCTAAGGGGTCGTTTACTTATGACGTCCATCAAAAAACCTGATTTTTAGACCCCCCTCTGTCACTAAAATTCTATAGAAAAAAATTTCCATTGTTTGAACTGTCACAATATCCTAGACCCCCCTCCCCCCATAAATGTCGGACGTCATAAGTGAACGGCCCCTAAGATGATGTTCACAAAATAAGTCGAGTGGCTAGGGCTGTGTTTTTCTGCAACTTTAAACTTCAATAAAATATATTAAATATCACAACTGAACATCATTAAAAACTTTAATTAACCAAATATAACTTGCATGAAACTCTATTTTTAAAATTCCATTTCTATAAAAACTTTTATATCAAAAATTTGAATTAGAAATTCTAAAAACAGTCCGTAAAGCATAGAGTCCCGATTATCAAAGACACATCCGCAGCTTTTGCGTCATGAATCATAAATAAAGTCTACTTTGTAAGCAAAATTGTAAGTAATTCATCGTTTATTTAATTTCAAAGGTCCCCAAAGACTTCATTCATAAAAATCTATTAACTTTAGGTCAATAAATAAAATTATGACTCAATGTCCATTGATAAATGTGTAGAATCCAAGCATTACAAATACGCCATAATCATAATAACTTTCACAATGCCTTACATCCAACACACAAGACATTTCAACGCTCAAAGGATATAACATGTATGATATTCACAACGTGATTACATTGTAAAGCACATTTCGTTACTCTTTGGAAAATTATTACAGAACTAACATATCATGAGCGTACGACAATATTGGAATACGTAAAGAATTTCCTGACTTACTTAATGCAGCCTTCATTAAAATGTATTAAAGAATTCGTAAGAAGATTTTCTGATTTAATATTAATTAATGCTATATTTTAGCATTTTGATGCTCCTTACCTAGGAAATAGGTAAGAGACGTTTTAGTGAAGCAATGGTTCCGATTCTTGAGTCCCGAACTTATAAGCGCTTAATAGTCAAGTCAGGACTTTTAATTGAACACATCTGCATGAAACTTTCCAATTATTCTTCCTCATAGATGACTTGGGCCTAATATAAATTCCAATATCCTTCTTATATCCATCATAATCTTCTACGGAAATGCCTCGATTAGATAATCTTATTATTACAAACTAATTCAAGACACGTAGCACTTAGTTGTACTTTGTTAACCCTCACAATAGATTTATTCAGATTCAAATTCCAAGAAGCACATCCTCATGAATTTCCACGCTTGCACAATAAAAACAGATAAATTCTTATGAATCAATTAAAGATAAAAATGCGAAACTAATAAAATTATAAAGACTTTTCTTGTTCACTATCAAACTTTTCATGTCCAACAACAAGTTAGCCAATTCATTCGAAACAAAAACTTTCATTCACCTTCTCGGTCATGCTTTGAATAGCAATTCATTTTTCAGATATGGCATGAAAAGTGGGGAAAGACACGCACTAACAATCCACAAATGTGAGAGGAAAAACTTTTGTTTTTTGAGACTTCTTTGCATCATTTCTTAGCTTTATAGCTTGATTTAATGAAAGAAAATTTAACAGAAATTTATGAATGCTTATTTTGGTGAACTTTTGGAACTAAAGATTATTTTTATCAAATTTTCTTGTAGAATTTGGTCAGGTACAGTCAGGAGTGTCGAACAGTTAAATCATTCACCTTCATAAGAACCAACCTTCTCGATTCAAGATCCTCGAGAACACCATTTTCAATAAAAAGTATTCTATGTGCAGCATCTGGTTCATTGGAATTTGGCGCAGAAGCTTCGATCGGTGTCAACTTGCTACAAGACTGATCTCATCACCTAGACATCCAAAAATCCTTTAAATCACACAAATCTTCAATAAAAGAATCAAAGCAAAATGCTTTCTATCCAGGCATCAGTAAAATTTCTCACTTTCCATTTCATCAGATACACGACATGTCGAAGAAAGAAATGCTGTAGAAATATTAATGAAAATATTTATTTAAGAGAAAAGAGAAACTTTTTTTATTTTTGTACATTAACATTATAACGATAGCCTTTAAATAAATAATCACGTCCCTGTATCACATGAGAAATGGATATTGATGAAGTCATAAAGTCATTGAGTATGAAACATGGACACACGATTGCTGTTATGTTCGTAAAATGGTATTATGGCATTTAAGGTACCATTTTTGTGGATATAATTCCGGTAGCATTAGCTCAACGAGAGCGGAAAGCACAAAAAAGTTTAAACAACAACAACAACAAGCAAGTGTTTGACGTCATACTTGCAACGTAGTAGTCTACACGATCTCTTTTCGGATTCTGTTAGGAATTACAAACACAAGCATAAAAGATTTTTTTTTTTTTGTTAATCTTTGGATATAATTTTTTATAGCTTCAATTTAAACGACTTTTTTGTACATGTCATAAATATGAAAATACTTCCTTAGACTTTTTTATTATTGTTGTCCTGGAATCTGCTGGGAATTGGATGATTCTAAATTTTATGGTATGATGGACATTGAAAGTGAGATGCATTGGATTTTTCAATCATTTTATTGTGTTCATGTGAGTTTTTGATTTAATAAAAGCTTAAATCCTTTTGAATTTGAGTTGAAAATTCAGCAAGTAGATCTACTTGCTAGATCTACTAAAGATACAATTTTCACCTTTACCTTTCGTTATGCTTAATATTTGATTTTTTAATGAAACAATTTTTGAAGAAAAAGAGAGATTGTAATGAAAATAGGTTTAGTATAATCAACCAATGACTTACCTCCATTCCCTTGTCAACATTCTCAAATTCATATTAAGAGGTACGAAATACTCCTAAAAAAGAAATAGTTGCACTCTCAAAAATATTCGGAAATTCTGTATATTTTAAGAATCTCACCATTCTGATCGACACTTACCCAATTAAAGCAAAATTGACTGATAGTTTCCACAACTTTTACGCAATTGTAAAATCCTCACTCAGCATAATTTCTACGACGAAAGTCTCTTGGGAAAATCCCTTATCTCCTTCTTCTTGAAGACGATATCACATCTTATTAAAATAAAGCTTAAAGTTCATGAAACTTTATTTTATTATGTCAAGAACTTTCCATAAATCGATTACAAAAACAAACCAACCAAATATTTTCATAAAACTATCATAATTGACGTTAAAATTTTTAATTAATTGCACTCAACTTATCGTTGAATATTTCCATCAATCTTATACAGCACAATGATAAATTAAAATAT